TATTAACATAAAATGTACTAATCAATTAATCAAATAGTAATCAAGATTGTTTTTTAATTTTCCCTATAAACTGCGCTGCTACATGAATACATAATTCATGCACTGTAATGACTTGTATATAAACTAAATTTAAGTAAAAGTATAATTTATTTCAGCTACTATGTATAGAGCACTCCCTTAAAAAAAGTTGAAATTGAAAATAATCGCACTGAAGCATTCCATGCACGCTTCAACAAGTCTTTATTGGGGTGCCCATAGTGAAAGTTCTTTTTTTTTTTTTTTTTTGTCTGTTTGTTTTGTTATGTTTTTTTGTTTTTATGCTGCGACATGTAACGACGCACGACGACGTTGAACATGTCCGTTCATGTCCGTACATGTCTATGCGTGCATTGCACAAGCCTCCACCCCCTTTTACAGCAAATCAAACTTACCGAGCAACAATTTCTCGTTAGTCCAGTTGTCGTCAATGCTTTTGTTGTTGTTGTTGTTGCTGTATTTGTATGTCGGTGTTCAACTTTTAATTAGTTCTAGATATTTTGTTTGGTGCAACACTTGAAACAACACAAAACAAAAAATCAAATGATATTCGTATACGTATTTGCAGAGCTTGCGAAATTTTTAACGGCCATGCACTTATTTATCTCTCTCTTTCTCTTTCTCGCTCTCTTTCTCTGTGTTAAGTTAGCGACGATGATAATGATGAAAGCGTGGCCGGTTTCCGTTAAATTTCCGAACTGGAAAACTCACTCGCGACTCTCCACGCACAAAACTCGCGCACTCGTCAAGGGATCGCAGCGAACTGGCGGCACGACAAAACAAAAATAATGAATATAACCGAACCACACGAAGGAGAAACAGAAGAAACACCTGCGCTCATGCACAAACTTGTAAATGCTGCAGCGCATGCGTCGCTGTATGTGTGCGTGAGTGGTTGCGCATGTGTGTGAGTGTTTGTGCGACGACTGCTGGCTGTGACGGCACGCAACGACTTGCAACAAATTGTAGGTGTATTTGTGTGTGATGTTGCAACGGCGCAGTCGTTTAATTGAACAACATGCCAATGTATATCTTTTTCACTAGCTGCAGAAGCTACTGCTAACAAAACAACCAAATATTCACTCAATATATGCAAAAAAAAAAGGTATAAACAAAAATTTAACGAACTTTCAACAAAAACACAGGTCAACGAGCGACGACGCGAAGCACTGACTCTTGTAGAAAACCCAAACTGACGATCGTGTGGCCCTCACTGAGAGGCCGTAGAATCCCAACAAAAATACTAGAAACGTGCCATGTTCAAATAACTATCGATCCTATGCAATCGATATAAAATACACTAAGTATGTTTTACAGAAATACTACAACAATTTAGCACATCTTTAATAAACTACCTACCAATTCATATAAAATTTACAAACGATTGCATCTACATAAAGTAGAATTAACAAAGTAAATGTTACACCATTCTTCCATTCAAATTAAAATTTCTCTTCATCATTTATTTAAAAAAAAGTAGATATCTATATATATTTATTTCAGTTAAATTTACAATTATAATAATGTACAGGGACAAATACAAACTTTTTAGTATTTTCATTTCAATAAGTAGTGGGGTCACACTGCGCTGAATACCGTATCGTATTATTTTAATTTTAATCCGGCTATTCCATTTAAATTCTGTCTGAAATAGAAATCTATCGTTAAGAGTGTAGTGAAAAGTATTTACTCATGTGCGCCAGCTATGAAACTTAATTGTTTAATATTCAAACCTCTATAGTCTAAATAAATTTGAGCCATGGCGCAAAAGTACGGAGCGTCGCAACATTTATTTCGTATTTTGGCGCAAGAATCAGAAATGCCCAAATCAGCTGTTCCAATAAAGATATATATCGATAAGAGCCGATGTGAACACTTGCGTGAACTATCGAATACATAAATCTCGTTACGCATATGAAATTAAATAAAATAGACAAATATTTGTTCCTATTCAATTTAAACTACTATCATAATAAATCATTAGCCTAGTGCCCAAAAATACCCTGCTCAATGTGCCTTTTCCTATTTATAATTATTGTATATCGATAGCCACGTTGTCTGTATTTGCAATAGCGCAAACGTAATTGGCGCGAATTCAAAAAGTAGTTTCGTTGTTTTTGGGTTTGTTTATTTTTGTGTGCTTCTTACTTGGATTTCTTATACAATTTAACAACAACAAATATAAAAAACAAAAGAAAACAAAAAAAAATTGCGCAAAGGCCTATCATTATAATATAAATGATAAGCTTAAGTTTAATATTAAAATACGTATATATCAAAAATTAGTATAATATGGTTATTATGTTAAGGCAAATTTGTTTTGTTTTGAAAAAGTGCATGCTTTTCAAATGGTATCAGACATTTTGGATTTGCATTATAAAGTATTTAGAGTTTTCGAGTAAATTGCTTACATAGATGTATGTAGATGTATATGTATATATATATATATAGTTGTATATACAATATAAGTGTGCG